ATTTCCATTTCTTGCCCTCCACAGGAGCAACCGGTATTGTTACTGGTGTCTCCTGTGATTGACTAGATTTGACTTGGGGATTTTCCCCTTTGGCTTGAACCTCAGCTCGGAAACTCTCTCTCTCCAGAATGGTATTTATAGGGCACGATAAGCACAAGCCAAACCCCAAATAATTTGTACCTCCTTAGATTTATACAAGCTGCATCATCCCTGAGTCAAATACTGGCTTGGTTTCTCAGGGTCCCACAGATGTTCAAGAGTAAAATCCCATACACTGTGGGTCCCCATGCTTCTAAGACCTTTCCTAAACCTCTCCATATTCCCTGCCAGTCATCATTCTCTGGTTTTGGAGGAGACTCCTTCCCCTTATTACAAATGCATTGGAATACATTCAGGAAAATTAATGACACGCACACCACCATGAGAACTAATTCAGGATTCAAAAATGTTTGACAAACCGAGAAGAAAACCCAGAGACTGGTCTGAACATCGTGTTGTTTGTAAAATTAGCCATTCCATTTGGGATGTAGTTGTTTGTGAAATTAGCCATTCCTTCTGGGATGTAAACGTCAGAATTCAAATCATACCACATTGCATATAGGTAAAACATAGGTGTCTCCATCAGTGCCCTTAGGTAGTTATATATGAATGCAATTCCACAACAAGTATTTATGAGATGGATTATTGGCCAGTAGGTTGTGAGTAATACCATTCCTTTAATCCTTTACACAGCACCGCCATGATAACGAGTGAGCTTATTGCTGGTGCCTGCTAAAAAGGGGTTAATGAATTGAAGCTAACAAGAGGAGGGAAAAAAAAAGGAAAGAAGGCACTACCCAGACTAAGTAGTGCTCAAAGTTTACAAATATCCCAGAACACTGGCAGCACGCCTAATCTTTCAAGGTCAGGTTTTCCAGCACAGAAACCTGAACTACTGATAAGGCTTCTTAACAAAGCTCTCTAAGAGCAGAGAGAAAAAGAGATTCGTTCTAAAAGCTAAAAAGCAGAGAGCCTGCATTCTCCACCAAAATCTGTCACGGAGTTGACCAGATCAATCTATGTCCGTGACAGGGGCGACAGGCCTCTGCCTTCCCCCCACCCCAGTCCCACAAAAATGGGAAGGAAGGAAGGGAGGAAAAGAACAGCAGCAACAACCTATGGAGGAAAACTTATTTTACTGTAATACCACAATACAAGATAACACAATATATACAATTTAATTGAAATTGAGATTAATAAATCAGACAAGATGAGAGAGTTCCCAGGACCGAGTCAAACCTGAAAAGCTTGGAACGGCTAGGAAAGCACCTCTGCACCCACTGCAAGGCAGCAAGAGAGCGCCCCCCCACCCGGAAGGGCCAGATCCCGTGACTGCTGTAATGTACAGGGATAGGTACCTGGAGTTGGGGCAGTGACACTTTAATGCCCCGTACACTACATGATGTTTTGATGTGGAATACTGGAACCCAAAAAACAAAGAACGTAGAACCATGACAGTATGTGGGCAAGGTGTATATGCAGCTGTTTATGTTTCTTTTTCCTCTGTGGGAATGTAGCTCAAATTATCTGAAATGCAATAGTATTTAATGCTAATCTGGAGAGGATACACGTCCAATTACTGAGCTCAGGCACCTAGTTCCCACTAGCAATTGCAATAAGTACCAGCTTTACCAGTTTTAGCTTTGTGGTCTTTCCTTAATGCTCTGAGTCTTGACTGTACTTAAGGCTTCTAAGGTGTCTTTAGAATAGAAGTTTCAGTTTAGGTTTTTGTCATATGTGACCTACATGATGATTGTTTTTATTCTCTCTGACAGATAATCTTGTATGTAAAGGAGGAGATGAAGAAAAACAACATCTCAGAGCAGACTGTCATAGCCATAATCTGGTCAAGTGTGATGAGCACTGTGGAGTGGAACAAAAAGGAGGAGCTGGTAGCAGAGCAAGCCATTAAGCACTTGAAGGTATGTAACCAAGTTGAGGCTTTTGCATCTCCTGGGGTAGGGCTTGGGCTTCCTTTTGTCTCCAGCTCTCTTTTCAAGTGAATTGGAACCTACAAGTACCATAATGCAGAGACAGCATTAGATGGGGAGCTCTTCCCCTTGCAACTTTAGTATGGATTCTTGTTCCAGTTGTTGAGGTAAAAGCAGTAAAATTTTGGCAGAAACGCTCCCACAGATGTGTGGAAATTGCTTCCCCAATATGTGGGTTATAAATTTCTAAGCTGTGGCTGATAGAAACTGCGCAAAGCCAGCGTAGATGGGCAGTAGCTGTTAAGAAATGTTGTGTCTGCGTGTCAACTTGTTTTTCCTTATTACAGCAATACAGCCCTCTACTTGCTGCCTTTACTACACAAGGTCAGTCAGAGCTGACTCTTCTGTTGAAGATTCAGGAGTATTGTTATGACAACATTCACTTCATGAAGGCCTTCCAGAAAATAGTGGTGCTCTTCTATAAAGGTAAATCTCTGTGGGCTTGATTTCATTTTCTGTTTAAGCCTGGATTGCAGAATGGTTTGGTCCTGGTAAGGCCTTCAAGGGAGCTCAGTGCTTTTCCATAACTGAATAATTTTCTACCCTCAGTTTGCAAACTTAGAACTCTAAAATGCAAGTGGAGGTACTGCAGTCTTTGGCACATGGAGAAGTACTCTGGACAAGGAAGGATGCTTCTTGTCTCCTGCAGCAAAGCAATAAGACTTTCAGGCACTTAACTACAGTCTTTTCCTGAGTTCTTGGTCTGAACAGGCAGAGATTGAGACCACCAAGGTGACAAGGTGCTCTAGGGTTTCTGCTAAATGGCTGTTTAAAAGGTATTAAAGACATGCTTGTGGGCCTGTAGAAACACCATAGGAACATAAAGAAAATTGATGATGTGAAGATTATATTGTATTTGTGAATGGTAACAATTGATAACAGCTGGTGTGGTGTCCTGACATTTCTTCTTAGTGGTTGACTGACTCAGAGTACGTGAACTCAAATAGCTGTGAAATACTCAAGGCTGTGTTACCACTAGGAGTAAAAGTGCAGCTTCTGGAGGCAACGCTCAGAAAACCCACAGTCACCAACCTGAAAAGTGTGGTTCTTTTTTCCACACTTATGTCCAGCCATCCCCAGGGAACAACCAACAAATATGTGTTGAAATTTCTAGGCGAGGAAGCCAAGCCTGCTAGGCAGGGTTCCTTGCTGACTGCTATTTGGTGTTTTGCCCTGTTGACATCACTCTTGTACACCTTACAGCTGAAGTTCTGAGCGAAGAACCCATCCTGAAGTGGTATAAAGATGCACATCTTGCAAAAGGAAAGAGTGTCTTCCTGGAGCAAATGAAGAAGTTTGTTGAATGGCTCAAGAATGCTGAAGAAGGTAAGCAAAAGCTTAGCTCACAAGTTCCTCTTCACTTTGAGATGGCCAATGCTTTTTTTTGTCAGCTGGAGGCACTAATGGATTTTCTGAGACCGGGATTGCCCCCAGTCCTGGCTGGAAAAGCAATCCCTGTGGTTTGGGGCTGCTGGGCGGGGCCTGCAGGGGGGCTGGCCTCATGGCAGCAGCTGACCAGGGTTCTCTCTTGCAGAGTCAGAGTCTGAAGCGGAGGAGGGTGACTGACCTCTGGAACAGTCCTCAGTAAAGCAAACAGGAGCTGTAGATAAGTGTCATGTCTCATGTGTCCTTCTGATTCTTACATCCTACCTCCCTGTATCAAGCATGATATAAGGGCTCTCATGGCAAATTTATTTTAACTGTTTTCTATAGTTATTGAAATACTGGGTTTAGTTTTTAAAACCATGTTTTAAGTAGGTAGTTTACAGGAGCTATAGATTTGACTCTAACCTGCATTTGTCCTTTCATTCAGTTATATTCTACCTCCTGTATTTTCTACTGTAATAATGTAATTTAAGGCCTTCCACAATTAAATTCATTTTACCTCCTTGGGTTTTCTATCTGCATTTGAGTAGACATGATTTGGTAAATGAGATTCATGGCAGTTCTGTTTGCAAATTAAATTGTAAAAAGCCTCTGATTTGACGAGGCCGTGGCTTGCGTGGTAACTTGGTGTGACACTTTAATCCATACTACTTGCTCCAGATAACCTTGTTGATTGTCCATCTTTGTAAAATCTTTGTCATCTCTTTTCCTGTACTTCCAGCATAAAGTAATCTTAGCGTCCAGCTGTTGCACGGGGCACCTGCGCCACTGCTGGGAGCTCCTGTGGTGGTGGTAGTGACCTCTGTAGCTAAGGTGGGGTATGAAGAGTGGCCTCTCTGAGCCTGCTGTCACAGCTGGTGGCCCAAGTTCCTAAGGGACTGCACCACTTACTGCTCAGGCTGATATACAGCCAAGGATCAGTTTGCAGCTTCTCTCCCAAGCAAATAGCGCTGTTCTGCATGCAGCTGCCCAGCAGCTTTCTGGAGCCCTGACTGAAGCTGCTCAGTGCTTGGGCAGGGCTGTGCCTTGCCTGTGCTGTCTGTTACATACAGGACTGCTGGAAGGTAAGCTGAGCAAAACCCTACCCTACCCCTGCCCTTACATGGGATTACTTTATGCTGGCGGTTGTTACGTGAAACCAGATTCTGTTCACCAAAACTTTGAATTCGTGAGGGCAATTCTCAGGACAGCAGGTAATTCAGGAGAGCTGGTAGACAGGCTGCTGTTGTAAGCTAACAATGAGCACTAGCTGAAATACTCATAACCTGAGTATACCCACTAACATGGAAAAAGAAAGTGATGATCACAGTGCTATCTGTTGAATACTACAGTGATCTTCCTTACTTTGTAATTTTTTTTTCAAGCAAATAAAGGCCATTCTTACACTTAATGCAGAGTGGTGTCTGTAAGCATCTTTAGTTCCCAAGTATTTTACCATTTCTGTGACTCTTTAATAATCATTAATCTTTTTCCCTTTTAGGATGAGGCCTAGTTCATAAGGGTGCTCTTTCCATATGTCCAGGTAAAAAAAAAAAAAAAAAAAAGTGCAGAGATTTTAATAATAAGCAAACAATCAGGATCATCTTTTTTTCTTAAATAACTTTTATTTCAGCAGCTGCATCAATATCCAAAGAGTCACAATACAAAATAAGACATTTACAAAGAAGAACTATACATAATAATTTATTACTTAAAATTTCCTATATTTCTTTGGTGGGCTACTATCATCTGGACAGGACTGCTCTGCTACAGGCGACAGCTTCCTTTTCTCTTTTTTCAAGGGGAAGAAGAAAGGATGTTTTAGTGCTTCTTCAAGTGTAATACGTTTAGCTGGGTCATACTCCAACATTTTTTGAATGAGGTCAAACAGGTTCTCGTGGTCAGCATCCCTGCATGTCATGAATTCCTACAACACCACAAACACTGTTTTATTCATATCCTAATTACAGTTCTGTCCCCCTGAGCCCTTTCCCTTCTGTCATTTTACCTTCAGTGGTTTGCAGCGCCTTGCAACGTATCTGCCTGCAGAACTGTGCTCGTCCCAGTCCAGCTGGTCCCGATGGAAATATTTCCGTTTCCTTCAACAAACAGCACAACTTGTTATTTAAAACCCATCTGTCCCCTTAAAATGTCTTTACTAGCATGTTTCCTCCCACAGGGAAATGATCTGACAATATCCCACTAAAGCAAAGGTAGGTTGTTAAACAAAGCAAGAAGATGAATTCACTTTTTTCCTTCTTGTTAAACCAAACCTGAAAATACTGCATTTAAAAATGAGGGAATCAAGGTAGAGAAAATCAAGTGTAATTACCTGGTTTTCTGTATCATGTGATTAGGCAAAGGCCCCAGTATCCGTTCCATCATTGCCAGGTGCTCTTTGCTGTCATGAGTCTGAAGGAAAATGAACATTTCTCTCTTATCCTTAAAGTAAATTACCACGATATACACACTAACCTGATTTCTGGATTGTACACTGCAAAACAGTAATGACTCTCACATGAAGAAAGAGCCTGTAGTCATCTTCTTCCAACAGTAACTTAAAATAGATTTCTTTTTCCCCTCCCAATCCTGCCTTGCCTTCTCTTTGGTCTTAAATTTCACCTTTAAGTACTGCTATCAAAACATTCACATACTTGAATAACATCTGCTGGCAGCAAGAGATGAAGCCACCTCTGTTATCCCTTCAGTGGGGCAAGGCAGAAGGAGAGCACAGTGTTTTGCAACCCCATTTTGCCTGAGGGTTTTTACCAAGCTGCAGTACACTACACACACTGTGTCTCCAAGGCTCTGTTACGTACCGGAAATACTGTGAACCCAAGGTAGTATTCTATGAGAATACAGCCGATGCTCCAAACATCACATGGCTGTGCCCATCCCAGTGCTGTGAGAAAAAAGCCCAGAAACATCAGGGTTAGACCAGGCTACAAGCAATCCAACAGCTCAAGGAGAGCGCATGTATTTCTGTAGCACAGCTGAATGGTATAAAAAATCTTCCAGGTGAAAGAGATTGTGTAACACACTTCAAAAAGCTCATTACTACTATGAAAACATGAAGTATTCTGCCCAGCCAGGCACAGTCCTGAACAAGACTTTTTTTCCAGTTTTCCAACTGTGATCACTGCTTAATTTATCAGCACTGAATGGAAAAGCATGCTATCTCTCTTGGACCAAAAAGAATACTGACCTAAAATAACTTCAGGAGCCCTGTAATGTCTTGTAGACACCAGAGTGCTGTGATGTTCGTCATCGTATGTTGCACTCCCGAAATCCACCACTTTGATGTCTGGATTTTTTAGTGTGCGCTCATCACGTTTCTGAAGTGAAACATACCGTGAGATGTAAACGATGACATAAACCCAGGAGGCTACAGGGAAGAAGGGAGGATGACAGTGACTTACCAGTCTGGGGTTATATTCTTCTACATAATCAGACTGGACGAATAAAATGTTTTCTGGTTTCAGATCCGTGTGTGTCAGTTTGTTCAAATGTAAAACTGCAAGGTAAGAAATAGATAAGTTAGCAGTCCCATGGAGAAAATTAAGCAAAAATGAAAATAACATACGTACATATACTTACAGTTCACAGATTTGCAAATCTGATATGCCATTTGTCTAATTTGGTCCAACCTAAATGGCAAAAAGCCATTCTCTTTAATAAAGTCGTAAGTACTGAGTCCCAGTAACTCAAAAACAATGCAGACATGGCCGTGATGCTCAAACCATTCCAACATCTGGACACAGCGACTGCAGAAAGCAGGAAAATAAAAATTTCAACAGTAAGTAATACATAATGCTGAGAGGTGTACATCACACGACATGGAGAGCTTCAAGATCACTGGTGTTACAGAAAGTGACATCAGAGCAATCTTGAAGACAAAGTAAGGTACTTACTACGTATTGCTGGGGTCTGATGCATTTAAATGTTCCAAGACTTGTACTTCTGAACGTGCTGCGTCAGAGTACCTATCCACATTTTTTACTATTTTCACAGCTACATGTCTACCTCCCCTGAAATAAACAGGTTAAACAGTCATTAGAAGGAGTAGTTTCAATTGTTCCTTAATTATCACCATATACATTGTATAAAAACAAATGTAACCTATGAACCTTAGCAGATAAAGCATTTTCAGAGAACAGCTTAGGCAAGAAGTAACTTTCAAGTCCTTACAGACTGCCCAATGCGTTGCTCATTTATATTCTTTTATATTTAAGCACAAACATGTGCTCCAGGGGTGCAGCAAAAACTCTCCAACAGCATATGATCCAAAGAACATGCAAGAAACCTTCTCCAAAACAAATCTGTTATGCCAAAATGTTAAGAAATATACAGAGCAACATACGAGCCAGTAAGGATAAAAATAAAATCTTTCTGAGAGCACTTAATGAACTGTGATTCTATCAGTCCAACAACTGACAGTTTTTAGAAAAAAGACTTACGCTTTGTGATCAATGCATTCCACCACTTTTCCAAAAGCTCCTTCACCCAGAGTAGCAACAATCTCATCTATAAAGAAAACAACCGTCAGCTCCAGAAGTCGTTAAGTTACTCAGCCATTAAAAAAACCAAGCAAATAAAAATAAACAGAAAAGGCTAAATCTATCACTGAAGGTTATTCTAGACTGTGCTTCTTTAAAAAATATCAATAACTAGGTTGAGAGATGTTATCGGACAACTCTCATCAATGCACATTTACAGGTATCTCATTCTAACACATTAATTTCATTTACTAATTTGGGATTAAAAAAAAAGGGGGGAAAAGGAAAAAGAAATACATTTAAGTTCTCCAGAAGAAAATTAACGATCCCCCCTCCCCCAAATAAAACAGAACAAAAAGAAAGAAAGAAAAGGCTGCCAAAGCCCCCTGGCATCTTATGCTAAAAGAAATTACTATATCTGAATGTTAATAAATTTTGAAAAATATTCTATACATCTTGCACTTAGTACGTCTCCACTCTGACAGATCAGGTGACCCTCCTCATCATCCTCTACACTCCTGGATCTTTTCCTTCGAAGACTCCTCTGGAACGGCACCGAGATGGTCAGGCCAATCAATAAACCCGAGTCAATTCAGGTCAGAATACGAAATTCATTCAGCGGGGAGATATTCAGGCATTCAGATACACGCCAGGCCACAAACGGTTGGCAGGAGCAATTTCAAATTCAGTCCCCGGAAATTCACAGGGCACATAGTTTATGTTACAGGAGAAAAACATGGCAAGGAACAAATTTTCAGATGAGATACTCAAAGTGGCAAGGCAATAAATACAACATTGTTTTTTCTTTTAAAAGATTGGTTCACTGAATTTTCATTTATGTCTTCAGTGCCCTTATTTCTTATAGCAAAAGGATTTAATAATTACGTTATATAGGACAGCCTCATGGCTAAGTGAAAATACCCCTCTTAAGTAATTGAGTTTAAAATTACTGCTTTGAATATTCATTAACAGCTTTTTTTTTTAAATCACAAAAATACCATATATATTTACTTCAGGCTGTCCCAGCTGAAGATATTAAACTATAAACCCTATCTTCAGCTTTTTCAAGTTAAATATACGATAACGATTAGAAAAACTGCCCTGCTAGTGGACAGTCACTGCACTTTCTAATTCTACAGATTTCATTCAGACCTAAAGCATTTTATTTAATCGGTACCAAAAAATGTGTGAAAACCTAACATTATCTCCTTGCTATTTCAGTGATACGTACTCAAAAGCAAGTCTGAAAGTTCGCCTTTGGACTTTTGAGTAGGGCAGAAATAAATATCTGACGTCATAATGCATTTTTAAGGCACGAAAGTGATGCCTGCAGAAATATTCCATTTGATGGTTTCTACTCATTAACTGGCTCAAATTACAGCCAGCGAACAAAAGGCAAGCTATATTCCATAGTGTTACAAGCATAACTAAACAGCATATGTTCTCTAAAAGATCAAAAAACAAAACAAAACAAAACAAAACACCAACACAAACTAACAAAAAGAATTATCAATCAATACGAACAAAAGGGCTAATCTACTAACATCATTCACAGACTTCCCCAAACCCCCCAATTACTGCTGCCCAGCTGGGAACTTATCTCCCTAAGACACAACCCCCTCAGTTATAACTGGACAAACCACCTGTGAGTGATGGTGGTGGTGGCAGGCGCTGTGCTGCGTCCTGTGCAACTGCTTGTAGCTGCCCTTCCCGCTGCGGCCCAAGGACCTGCTGCCATGTTGGCGGTGGGCGCTCTTGTGCTCGCGGTGCTGCTGCCCGCTGTCACAGCCCTGTGTGTGCTCAGTCCTGTACTCCTCCACATAGCGCCTCCGCTTGTGGTGCTCCCGGTCATTTACGGATTTGGTTTCTGAACATTTACTACAAGCAAAAGAACACGTAAACCCAATTAAATCAATTCCTGCATCCCCATAAAGAGTTGACCGATTTGGAAGGGTCCCTTAAAGATCACCTAGGCCAATGCCTCTGCAATGAATAGACACCTACAGCTCCATCAGGCGCTCGGAGCCCTGTTCAGTCTAATCTCAACTGTCTCCAAGGCATCCACGACCTCTCTGGAGAACCTGTGACAGCATCTCACCACTCTTACTGTAAAAAGCTTTTTCCTTATACCCTGCCTAGATCTCTCTTCCTTTAGTTTAAAACCATTTCCCCTTTTTCTGTTCACCACAAACCCTGATAAAGCCTGTCCCTTTCCTTCTTAGAGCCCCTTTTTGGGTACCACAAGGCCAACTTCAGGTGTCTCCGGAGCCTCCTCCAGGCAGAACAGCCCCAGCTCTCAGCCTGCCCTGGTAGGATAGGAGTTCCCTATCTCGGGCCATTTTTGTAGTCCTAATCAAGCCATTTCTTTCTGCTTTAGGCAGCAGAACATCAATCTCAAACACGTCCACCACAAGCTGCCGCTGTGTTCTCCAACAGCCATACGAGTACAGTCACCCGCACGCACAGGCCCGCAGGTACCGGAGTGCCGCAGCCCTCACCTGTGAGGCCTCTTGGCCACCTCGTGCCTGTAATGCCTGCCCTCCTGGGCACCGCTGGGCGATTTGCGCTTCCCATGGCGCTCACTGCCGCCGCGCCGCCGACCCCACCCGGGCTGGTCGCTGCGCTCGTAATTTCCCATCTGAAACCCACACAACATTTTGTCCTTCATACCGCACGCCAAGACGGGGCGTCCCCACGGAGCGCAGCGCAGAGCCCACACGTCCAGCGCACCCACCTTCCTCCTCCCTCCTCTCCCCCCCCAAACGGTCGCAGCCCCAGCTCCCCACAGCCCAGCCCAGCCCCACGCCGAGCCCCGTTCCCCCACCGCGGCGGCCGAAGCCATTTTCTCTGCCGCGGGACGGACACGCAACATGGCGGACCGGGAGGCCTAGAGGCTCTCGACCGGGGCCTCGCCGACGGGCAGGAGGCGGCCCCAGCCCCGCCGCCGGGCAGCGCGACTCGCTCCCGTACCTCAGCAGCCCGGGTTGCCGCCGCGCTCTCCGACTGCCGTCGCTACGCTCTCTTAAGCTGTCGCTACGCTCTCCTGAGCCGTCGCTACCGCCGCAACTCAACCACTCTCAGCTCTCGGCCGCGACAAAATGGCGGAGCCTTATGGCGCGAGCCGTGCGTCACACAACGGGGCAGGGCGGAGGCGGAGCCACAAAGTGGGCGGAGCTCCCTCGGTGCCCCGCCCGCCCACCGCCGCCCCGCTGCGCGAACCCACTGTGCAAAGACAAATCAAAACGTCGTGTTCAGCCCACCGGCAGAGAGTTTTCTCTGTCTGGTACGCTGCTTTCATCTAGGGGGAAAAATTAGACAGGGTACTACCCTTTCTGCAAAAATGATAAAGTAAGGCACGTTAGTGTTGACACGGGAAGGTTTCAGAAAGCTGGCAGTCTGCAAACGCCATTGCTTCAACATCGTACTGCTATGAAAAATGACAGAAAAGAGAGAATTGCAAAAAAAAAAAAAAAAATATATATATATGTATTTGAAAGTCTTATTTTACAAGTAGGCAACACTTGAAAATCAAAATCAAGTCAATAAAAGTCAACGCACACCCTGGAAACACAGGCTTGAGGAACCCAAGGCTCCCCTATGACAATTCATAAACAACATCACAGCTCCCAGAGCCCCGCGCTCAGCACACCAAGGTACAGCCCAGCTCCGTAACCCCGTCTGATGGCACACCAAACACCCCATCCAGCAGTTGGTCTGACCAGCCTCTAAAGAATGTGTCACAACTTGGTGGCTACAGAGCAAAAGGGTTGGCATGAATGGTGATATCTTTGATGCGAACATCATTCAGAGGTCGATAGGTTTTCTCATTCACAGGCAGCTTCTCCAGCTCATCCAAGGTCTCCAAGCCATCAATCACTCTGGAAGAAAAGCAGAGCCGCTCGGAATCTCCTATCAATCAACTTAACTTCCACAACAGAGGCATCTCAGAACACCTTACAGTTAGCTAAGTGTCGTAGTGCAAGGACTCCACAAGTAAATGATACAAATAAGGCAGCCAAACACTGCATCACAACAACACAGCCAACACAGCCAGGTACTGGCCATACTGAACTTCTCTGCGCATTATTGAAATCCATGGCTGGAAAATCAATTTCCAAACCCGTGATTATAATCACTAACTTCTCACTCAAAGACAAAATTAGTAAGAACCATCCATAATTGCATAAATCTAATGGCACAATGGCGTTCATTGCCACATTCATCGCTGCACAGATAGGCTGGCAAAGTTCCTGTCAGAGTGTCTACTCATTTCTAACAAGATGTCAAAAAAAAACCCAACTTTTGATCACACCTCTAAACAAACTCAACAATGAAAGAAACACCGGTGCCCAGGTGCCTATGAACAATGCAAGTGGAAGGGAACAGCATTTCCCCCCCAAAAAAACCACTTTTGCTCAGTAAGATTCACAGACTTAAAAACAAACAAAAGAAAAAACGTTACCCTGATTTTGAGATCAAAAAAGCAGTATTTGAAAGACTCAAAACCTAAACGTGCTTTAAGGATGGTATATTACTAGCAGCTTCTATTAACATGAGAATATTTTAGACTAACAATGCATCTTAATCCCATCTCATGAATTGCCAGTTCCAACTACGCAGAAACATGATGACCATTCACATTTCCAGTTCCACAGCAGACCCTTGCTTCTCAGCAAACCCTAATCAGTGTGCCTAGTTGTTTTGGAGTTTGTGTAGACCAGGCTACACCCATTTGGGCATGGTACAAGGCAGCAAGCAGCAACAATGAGCTTAAAGAAAGAAAAAACCCACCACCAACTCAGCTCTATTCTTAACGTAATTTTTAATATGCCAATTTCCACTGATTTCCCTACCCTCATGACAAATGGAGCAGCATTTTGCAATGACTGATCCTGGTGACAGTGGAAAGCACACTTTCAAATATACACATCCTATATTTTGAAGAACTTCAGATCTGAAGCATCTAAATTTGCATTGCATGTACTTCTACATATACATGTCAATTAAACACTATGACAAGGAGGCATACAGGAGGGTCACTCACTTCCCAAAAACAGTGTACTTCATATCCAGGTGTGGTTGCTTGCCATAAGTGATGAAGAACTGCGACCCATTGGTATTTGGACCATTGTTTGCCATTGAAACCACCCCACGGACACTGTGCTGAAAGACAGAAAAAAAACTCGAATAACCAATCTCCCATGAAAGCAGAACTGCAACACGTACAATGTGTTCAGCGACATGACCACCATGACCACAGAATGGCTTGGAATGGAACTTAAAAGCTCACCCAGTACCACGCTGTGCCGTAGGCTGGCTGCCACCCATCAGATCAGGCTGCTTATGGCCCATCTAACCTGGCCTTGAGCACCTCCAGGGATGGGGCATCCAAGTGATACTCTTCCTCAGCATCATCATTACTATTAAAAACTTATCTAGTTGGTTTCAACCAACAACATGGCAACATAATTATGGTATCACAACTCATTAGCTCCTCAAATCTACTTCCTTCTACTTAAAAGACACTTTTTCTGCCTCTGATGCATTAAAAACACTATGTTACAAATTGTTTCTACTTCTGCTTTCCCTGATGAGAACCCTCAAAACTAACACCAATTAATAAGATGCCTATTTCTGTTTTAATAACTCTTCCTTGATTATACTTCATTTTGCAATTACAAAATGAGTATTTAATCCAGCACAACACGGAGCATACGCCAACCTGTAAAGAAAATTAATCTGAAAACAACGGCACATTGAGAGCACAAAAATACCTTTAGGTATTCACTGAATTCATCTTCAAACTTCTTGCCCCAGATGCTGGTTCCTCCTTTCCCAGTGCCTGACAAAGAAATATCACAATACATTACTGGATTTTGAGATTGGAAAATGCAGCAATAATATAACATTATAAAATTTTACAATAAAGGCCCCAGATACATCCTAATGTGCTTGAGCCAGGAACCAGGTTCTTGTGTCTTAATACCAAGTAGAGCCATAATTCTGTGTAATTGCATTTCCAGAAGCAAAACAAAAAAAACTGATATATCCTCAAATTAAACTCAGTACAAACAGACGCATATTTGAATTAGACACTCTCCCAAACAGCTGATGTTGCCTAGCTCATTTTCCCAATTGCTTTAGAGGCACCGTAGCTCTCCAGGCAGAAAACAGAGAAACCATAGCAGCAACTTTTACTGTTCAACTGCTGGTGAATCAGCAGAGCCATCATAATCAATGGAAAGAGCAGGAAAACTAAAATTTACAGAATGCTCTACTACTGCAATAGATAATTTAGAACCAGATAATGGCTGCTTCTCTGTAAGCTCACATCATTAAAACCTCTATTAGCAATAGAAGATATTTTAAATTAACTTTATTTACATTTTGTTTTTATAATTATTACCGATGCTTACAATTTCTTTGTATTTCTTGATATTTTATTTATGTTTTGATATTTATGTATATTTTTCTACAGAGAGACTGCGACAAAAGAATTTACCTAATGGATCCCCTGTCTGAACCATGAAGCCCTTTATATTCCGGTGAAACACACAGCCGTTGTAGTAGTTACTAGCACAAAGAGCCAGGAAATTCTAAGGATATGAAACAAACCACATCAATAAAATAGAAGTAACATTCCCCCTTACTAAAATGGCAAGGCCAGAAAAAACACTTCTGCCTTTGCTTGGCTTTAGGTTTTTGCCACTGCTATAAACAGTACCAAACACAATAAAAAACATCTATAGGTTATATGAAAATCAGGCAACAGTGAAGTCATTTGCACATAACATCAACAGATAAGATGAGGTCAGAAACAGGTCTGATGGGGCTTCACTAGTCATAGAGTAGCTTGGGTTGGAAGGGTTAAAGATCATCTTGTTCTAACTCCCCTGCAGTGCGCACAGGTGGACATCATGAGGTAAAACAAATCCAAGTGCAAGCTCTTGCACCTGGGTTGTGGCAACCCCTGCTTATCAGCACAAGGTGGGGGATGAAAGGACAGAGCCCAGCCCAGCCAAAATGGACTTGGGAGTACTGGGCAGGGGCACTGGATAGATGACCTCTAAGGGTCCCTTTCAATGGAAAAGATTTTATCGTTTTATGATCTATCACCAAAAGAGAAACAGCTGTAAAACCACAAGTCTTTTTTACAAGCTATATTTTTAAGACACTGCAGTTTGTCTTTAGAGCTCCTGTTTCCTTGGTTTCCCAAAGAATAAAGTTAAGATGGGTTGAAGAATCACTCTTTGGTGAAACCCACTGACTAATGCAATAGAACAGACATACAGAATTATGGTTAAGTTGCTCCTTTGACACTGTCACAGACAAAAAGGATTTAAATAAGGTTGACTGCACAAAGCTGTCTCACCTGAACAAATAAGAGGACTGAGGCATGTCCATAACCATCACTTGCATTCACATTTTTATTTTGTAAAATGCGTTTTGTAATAAATAACTTCAAGCCTCATATTTTTGTTTAGTTAAAAAGTAGCCAATTTCAGTGCAAGCTTAATTTTACTGCAGAAAAGAAAACTTGGGGTCTCTGACAAACTTGGAGTGATTCTTAATTCTTTTTAAGAAGTCCCATCTGTTTGAGTGTGAGCAAACCAAGGCAAACGTGGGAATCCCAGGCCACGTCCCATATTTCATCCTAAGGGCAAAGGACACTTTGAAATGCACGAGAAATTAGAGAGAAACAACTCTCAAGTAAATACTTCTTGGTGAGAAATGGGCAGCAGAGCTTTAGGCTCTATGACACAGCACACAAGAATACACTCTCCAACAGGTTCCATGCCAACTTAAAATGGAATATTCCACTATTTGAAAATGTTTGCTGGAACAGTCACTTCTTCCATTCTATAGTCTCCACCATTACTGCTTTGCTTCAATACTACACAATCCCACTCCTGTTATTCAACTTACTTCACATGTTTTTGGCGTTCGCTCACAGAACAGTTCAATTTTAATGTCTCCTACATCAGTGTGCAGCGTGACAGCCTGAGAAAGAGTCACAAAACATAATTAAGCCAGCAATGAAGTGCTAGGAGCTGCAGATCAGATTTATTTCCTGCTCCTATCATGAACAGGAACAAGTTCCCATTACACACAACCGTTGTGTCAGTATTTGGCCACAGGCAAGCTACTGTCACAAACCTTCCACATTTCCACTGAAATTACCAGAATACATTGCTGTCAGTTACTTTTAGGCCAAACCAAGTTTGCCATAACAATGCAGAAGCTCCAATTTGTGCTGTTACACTTCAGAGACAAATTGTTCATCTGTGAATTAGACCTACACTGCCATTTCACTGCAAATTTGAAGAATCAAGGTAATACCAACTTTGGGAGGTGCATATACCCTACTGGTTTACAACCAGGGGAAGAAGTGATGGGCATTATTAGACTAGAGCATTGAGTGATCAGGCTAACTCTGAATGGCACTACACACAGCGTGCCCCCACAGACAAGTAACTCTACAAAACTTCACATTTCTCTTGAAAATTTATAAACAATCTTCACAAAATTTTAAACGCCACCTACCCAGCCACTAAGGCATGGGTCTCCAATCTTTTGGCACGCCTGGGCACATCGGCAAACAGAAATTGTCTTGAGTTGCATATAAAATATATAATATTTTATATATATAATATATTAAAGTATATAAGTAAGAGAACCTTTTTATAAATACATTTTTATTATTAAAAAAAATAGCAACAAAAACATAAAACCAGTGGGATATTTGACCCTGTTTTTCTCAAGCATAATTTAAGTTTAAATTTCAAATGCTGTTTTGGTTTGAAACAGCACAGGTAAGTTGATTTTCACCTTGAAGACATACATTTAACTCATTTAAATGAATGGTCAAATCCACCAAAAATGCTAAACGTGTGAGCTATTTTTCATCTTCAAATCTGACACAAATTTTCATTTTGATTCAATAAAGGACTTATTTCAAATCATAAAGTCTTCTTAGCATTTTGCTCTGACTTAGCCACCTTCCTTCAGAAAAGTAAACGATGTCCCCATAAATCAGCATCAACGCTTTTAAGGAACTCCCAGAATTGAGAACGATTGGACTCTATGAAATCCACGGCTTTGATGACGACTGGCATGTCGTCACCATTTTTAAAGCTGTCACACGTGAATTTTCTTGATGTATGATGCAGTGATATTTCACCAAACTGAGTTGCCAGTGACCACTGCATCATCTTCTATTAACTTTATAAATCCCTCTCTTTGACCAACCATCACCAGGGCACCATCAGTACCTATACCAGACATGCTAACATAGGTTAAAGAATATCACTTTAATGTGGTTTTTTTACTGCTTCATACAAATCAGAAGATTTAATTAGTGGCACCACATAACCCATTTATTCAGTAACATTATATTCGTCATCAATAGCTCTAATATAAATACAAGCTGAGTTGTAGCTGTACCATCAGTATTTTCATCTATTGTCAAATAGAAAAAAAAAAATTCTTTTGATAGATTTTCCTGCTTCCTCCATTTGCCAGGCTAGTGAGACAAACTGATTTCAGAAAAATCAATTTTTTTTTTTGTCTGGACAAATTATATCTGTCATAATTTGCATAACTACTTAATAAACTCATCAAAAAACAGCTCTGAGTTTTTTTTTCAACCCACGTAACTAGCTTTTATTATAGAGTCTGCTTAACCTGTAACTTTTTTAAAAGATTTTGTTGCACAGGAGAAGCATCTGTAATGGCCACGAAGATGCTGCAGACACAGTACACACACTTTAAGACACACACTCCTGTCTTTAGCTGTAGCTTGCTGAACTCAGAAGCCTCTAAGCATACAGTGGAGTGTACACTCAGAGGGCCCCGTGCCTGCATCTCCAACAAAGCTTTGGTAGGAAAAGAAGCAAACTGGTATTAGCCAAACAAGGTTTGAAATCGGCTGTCTTAGAACTGAGAATCTGACTGTATTTCAGGCTGATACAACGGAAAGTTGACCCGTTTTCTTTTCGACCTTATCTTTCAGAAGTCTGAAACGGAAACCTGCACTTATCACTGCAAATTCTACACAGCTCAGAGCACAACACATCATCTGAGAAACAGCCATTCGCTTTCCAAGACGCGAACATTTCCGAAAGCACAGATGTAAGAAGTGCTATAGTTCTTACCATGCCTGCTCATCAAAAAGCTGAGGTTGATGCATATACAGCAACCGCCTGCAAACGAAACACACAATGCTCGGCTCACCCTTCCCCCAGCCGCCAGTTCTTTTCGATTCCGAAGCGCCCGTGCTACTCCGCGCTTTTTCACTACAGCGTCACGGGCAGCGACCGCAAGCAACCGCGTGTTGAGCCGCGCTCCGCCGGTACCACGCGGGCGCTCCCCAGCCTAGCACGGGCTCCGCATGCTCGGCGCCGCACAAAGGCCGCCTCTGGGCCCGGCGGAAGCGGCGGAGCCGTGAGGAGCTCCGCCCCGCCGAGCAGCCCGCCTCGGCCAGAGCCGAGAGCTGCTCCTGGCGGCCCCGGGCCTTCCGCCCGCCACGCTCCGCTCAGCGCGGAGTTCCGGGCGGAACGCTTGCCGGCCCGACTCCCGCCCTCTTCCCCTCCCCGCAGGTTCCGCATGCTGCTGCTCTGCCGGCCCTTCCGTCTCATCCGCGCTGCGGGCCGCCCGCCCTCCCGCTCCATCATGAACCTCAGCGAGCTCGTTCCCGCTCTGAATGACTTCGCTTCCCTCTCCCTGGCTGAGAGCTGGGACAACGTGGGGCTGCTGGTGGAACCCAGCCCTCCCCACGCCGTGCGCACCCTGCTTCTCACCAACGACCTCACCGAGCAGGTGATGGAGGAGGCCGTGCAGAAGAACGCAGACCTCATTCTCTCCTATCACCCTCCCATCTTCGCTCCGCTCAAGCGGGTTACGTGGAGGACCTGGAAGGAGCGGCTGGTGGTCCGTGCTCTGGAGCACAGGATCGGGATCTACTCACCACACACAGCGTACGATGCCGTACCGCACGGAGTCAACAACTGGCTGTCCAAAGGACTCGGTGAGGCTGGTCAAAACAAAACGACACCGGGTGCAGTTACTCAGCGGTATTTGGCACATCCATCAAATTATCCCAGGCGGGAGCCTTGCCTCCCTGCTTTCCTTTCCTCGGTGTGCTACAAACCAGCTATGAACACCAGAGGACATTTCCAGGTGCCTGGATGCTATTGGACACAGAACAGGTGCAGTGCATTTACTGTCTATCCTGGTTAAAGAGGTTAGGCTGCTGAGTTTAAATCACTGCCTGTAATTCATAAACTTATAGATAATCTCATTGTTCCTACATGACTTAAAGTATCTGAAATTCTTTTAGACTCTTATCTTCTGCTGTGACTTATAAACAAGAACAGGTGTGCTTTTTCCAGCCTGCTTTACAAACCAGAAATGATTTTTTGGTACAATTGTTAGGATAAAACTCGAATGGTATGAAGAGTAACAAATCATACGTATCATTCAACTTATTTGCACTTAACAGGACAAGAGGCCTGAGTTCTAGTCAGGGAAAATGGATTCAAGTGCAAAATCTGTCCAAAACTGCACCTCTTTTGGTGCATAAATCAGTATCAGCCACAGCATTCAGCTTTCTAAAACCAGTCCTTGCTCTGTTTTCTCAGGTGCCTGTACTTCTGTTCCACTGCACCCATCAACTGCTCCAAGCCATCCGACTGAGGGTACTCACCGGGTGGAGTTCTGTGCAGACACTGTGGAGCATCTAGAGACAGTGCTGTCCAAAATCAAAGACATCCCAGAGATCTTCTGTCTCACCACTCTCCCTGTCAGGTATCTGCTTCACTCTCTAATGTTGTGTTCTTTCTGTTGCTAGAAAATATTAAGTTGCTGGAACTGTGTTTTAACGTTTGTAAGCACTTCAGTCCTCTGTGCAGTGCTACCATTTTTCTTCAGCAACAGATCCATAAATTCAAAGGATAATTATCTCCTTCTGATCAATCCATGTTATACTAAATAGTAACTATCAACTTCATGTAGCATCACAGGGATTAAAGTGGTGAAGAATGTTAACAGTAAATACAAAATAAGAACAGTTGAGTTAAATTCCCAAGTATGTTTCCTCCAGGAGAGCAGACTAAGCTAGACTGTTACATGTTTTTTTCCCCTTTTTCTCTGCAGCAGGCTTCTGCAACAGAACACCTTTATTTTCTATGAATGTGATGCTGAAATTTTATCTATCTTTTAGCAAGTACCAAACACATCTTTCCTCAGGGTTGATTGTGAGGAGCAAACACGAGTCAGTCTGAACTGCTCTCAGAAGGCACTGCTGGAAGTGGTGGCATTATTGTCCCAGAACAGCCTTCTTTATCGCAAGACTGAGATTCTCTTATTACAGAAGGTAATAAAATTGTATATTGCTTCCAGTGAATATAGTTTGTGTGAGCTGAATGCCCTAAAATTTCCAGCAACTGCTGGCATTACAGGTTTCCTATGCTGCCTATCAGTTCTCTGAAATATGGCCTGTGGGCATTTAAAGCCATGTCCATTTTCCAAAACAATGGAAATAACTACATGGCCTGAACTAATTCTAAAATTGGTTCCAACAGCCAGTGTAGTTAGTATGTTACATTCAGTAACATACATATTTTTTCCAAAATGTTGAGAATTGTTTCTCCTTAATGCCCAATATACTTATTTTTGTACACTATGGAAAGTAATGTCAACTTCTGGAGTCAGCTTTCTCACAGTAATTTGAATTTTTCTCTTCAGCCTCTTCTTCCGCATACTGGAATGGGACGTCTCTGCACACTGAGTGAGCCAGCCTCCTTGTCAGACATAATTGAGCGCATCAAAAGCCACCTAAAATTACCCCACGTCCGCCTCGCCGTGGGAGCAGGCAAGACACTTGGTAATCAAACCTGCCAGTAACACTGCCCATCTGAACGGGAAAAAAACACACACTGCTTGTATTCCAGGAATTCAAGCAGTGTGTGTGTGTGTGTGTGTGTAGGTGTGTGAGATACTGCTGCCTTGGACAGGTTTACTTGCAAACAGTATGAAGGGCTGTCAAAGACAAGAGGCAGCCTTTCAGAATGTTGGTGATAAAATCATGCAGAAATAACATTGTCTGGAATGTCATTTTTGACTGGAAAATGTTTTATGGTGGTCATCATTGTGAAGCAGGCACAGCATGAGCTGAATATGAAATACCACTTTTCATAATTCACACAATGACTGAAGATATTTTCCCCCATTATATTAGACTTAAGTGTGTACTGCCTCATTATATGACCCCTTCTGCAACTGACTGTTACATTTACCAGCACCTTAAAACTGTAAAGATGCTTTGTGGTATCCTTCTGAACAAACAACCATCAATGTTTTTATGAGAGAAAAATAGCAACAGAGAAGGTAAGCCATCTGTGTCAAACTGTGGGTCACTACTACAACTTGGAGCAAGTATCCTTTCAGCCTAGTTATGAATCTTAATTTCCAAGAAACACAGCTGTTAGAATTCTTGAGGAAATTTGTTGAGAAATCTTTGCATCTTATGGGACAGAAACCTTGTTGCAAGCCTCTTAGCACTATCAATTGCACTTGAATCTATTTTGAAGTTCCTTGTTACGATATGGGATTGCAGCATGTGGTTCTGCCTGTACCTACAGTAGTTATTTGGCAACATACTGTAAAATCTTAATTGAATTTGAAAATTATGTGCCTTCCTCCCTACCCCTTTGTCAGGAACATAACATATATATGGACAATTAAATTTTGTCAGTATGCAATAGCTTAGAATCAGCAGTCATAGCAAAAACATATTTTTAATGGAATGGAGGAGCACTCAGCTTTGCACTGAAATCAGCCTTCTGAAAGCAGTTAGGAGACAGTACATCTCAGAATGAAAATGCTGCCTTAGTGGCATTGTTAGTTTGGAAAACAAATACAGTGGAGCTTCAGAGTCCTGGAAGGAGCAGCAGCCAATTAGCTGCTCCTTCCAGTTCAAATACCTAAGTAACAACACCTCACTAAAAAGAACTAATCTGCAGTAGCCAACAACCAGCCATGGTGTTGGGAGTTCTCTGCCAACTCTCCCACCCCTTGTAGAAAAATTCCTACCCATCTTTTTGGTACACAGAAGATTTTGCTTATTATTACAGATGCTCTGGGCCTTTGACTCTTACAAACTGACATTTGTGTCTTTTCCTCCAATAAATTTACACTGACCCTAAAATTAACGTATTGATATTGTTTTACAATAACTAAACTGACATGAGGGCTAAACAGAGGAAAAGTAGTTAATTATGGCACCTTGTATCCTGCAGATTCTCCAGTGAAGAAAGCTGCTCTGTGTGCTGGTTCTGGGAGCAGTGTCCTGAAGGGAATGGAAGCTGACCTCTATCTCACAGGTAAGAGACTTGTTTTGTTATCTTTATAAAAATAGGCACTAGGAAAAGAGAAAAGAGAGGGTTGTCTGGCTGTTGAAAGATTTGGCAAGAAGAATTACTTGTTAGAACTGAGAAACAATCAATTACTGGAATAACAGAAAAATAACATTAGCGTAGAGGTAACATGGATCAGATGGCTGTATCACATAGTGATGGTTATTTGAAGTAAACAGTACTATACATTCTTTTTTGTTTTTTCCCCCCCAACACAAAATCAGTGTTTGATGGCAGAATCTCTTGCAAATTTCAGTGTTTCTTCTTTGACAAGATACAAGTTGTTTCCCCAGTTCCCTACACAATTCTCAAATAGAAAGTGAGAAACAATGTTGTCTACAGAATCTTTCCAAGGAAGATGTGTAACAACAGCCACTGTATCTGCCCAAAAGGACACAGTCCATTATCCTCTTTCTGACAGGGCAGAGGATACTTTCCACAGCCTGCTCCACAACGTGAAGAATGCCTTGCATTGTGTGCTTAATTCAGTCAAGTTCTTTGGCAAGGCACATCTGGTCTCCCCTCTAATATATAGCACTACAGAGCTGACCCTCAGACAGTTCTTTGCACAGCTTCCTCAGTTGCTGACCTTCGTCGTAGCAACCCAGTTGAGCAGATGCATGACACTTCCAAAACCACTCTCTGCACACCATTTCCTGCCCTAGGTAGCAAAATACACCACTGTTCAAAGACAGCACAGAACTTCTGTGGTTTTGTCTCAGAAGTACATTGGGGATATCAGCTGAATGTCCTTCAAGGGACACCATAATAGGAGCATGCTGTATTCTGACACTGAGCAGACGGCATTGCTTTTTCCCTTATGGACTTCTTCCCAGCTTCTAGCTGAGATTCTGAACACGTTACACAAATACATTATTCACCTCAACTGCAAGAAATTTACGTGATGTTTCTTTCTCCACATGGCAGGAGAGATGTCCCACCATGACGTTCTGGATGCAGTTGCCAATGGCATAAGTGTTATTCTGTGTGAACACAGTAACACTGAGCGAGGCTTCTTGTCAGAGCTGCGTGACATGCTAACGATCCACCTACAGAACAAAATCAAAATCATTCTGTCTGAGAAGGACAGAGATCCCCTGCAGGTGGTTTAAGAGGGAGGAGGGGAAAAAAAAAAAAATGAAGTGAGAGAGCAGAGTCAAGAGTTCAATAGCATCCCGCACAGAGCTATCCAAATGCAAGCTGAATGAAGATGCTCTGAATTGGTCAGTATAGCATTGTATTGTGTTCACCCGATGGTTGGACTATAAATTGTCATCTATCAGATACATAATAAATGCTTGTTCAGGCTACTGAAAGATGATTTACTCAATAAATGGGCTCTCACTTGAATAAATTTACTGTTACAATATACTATTATTACATATATTTAATAACCACACCACTCAAGGCTTAGAGGGGCAAAATATAAAAATCTGACTTAGCTCCACTTTCAAGCATACACAGCAGTTCTCCCTTACTGTGGTTGTGTCAACACAAGTCTCTCAAATTTTAGCCAATAAAGCTCTCGATAATAGTTAAAGCAGTATTGACCATGGTTTGCATTAACAGTTTTAATAAGACACTGCTCATAAGTATATGCAGAGCACAATTCAGGCATTTGGTGCTAGTATTCAATTGCAAAACCTACCATTAATACAAAAGTAAGGGTGGTGGTTGCTTTGGGTTTTTTTTAATTTGTTTTTCAGTGGAGGGTCCCTCTATTGAAAAACTTTGGAAGTATTTTTTTTTAAATATGCTATAACACCTCCCATTCTCAGGCAGATTAATTAAATATGTTTTTGCTTTCTTTTAAAAACAATTCCTATACTTGTGGCTCTCAATTACAGGATTACTACAACTGAACAAGTAGATTCCCGTTATCAGTAATGATTGGAAGGGTTTGATGTTTCATTTGCTTCCTTTTTCATTTTCTTTTTAAGAAAAAAAATCTCCCTGTTAAGTATCTTACTATCTCTGCATTACATGCACACTAGAATATTTAAACAGGCTGAAAATACTTCCATAGCAAATTAATAAACATCTGAGTGGCATCTTTTTAAATTTAGTTAATAAAACTGGCTTATTTAGCTAGGTCTTTTCTGTGTTGCATACAGCAACTCAGTGCATTTGAGTCCTGTGTGAACCTGCAACTTAGACTGAAAACTGCATGAAGATTTAACTGCAGTAGTTAAAATCATCAGGATTCTAGGAAACATTTTTCTGTAACTTTGACTCTCTCAGCAGAGGGTCTAAGAGAAGACCATGCCTTTCCTCAGTGGAGCACTGCTGGAAGTACCCTAATAAAATGTCAAGATGCTGTGCTACCTAGGCTTTCCTAGTGGTGTTACACACAGACACTGCCTTGGAGGCAAATCTCTCCAGGACTTTGATGTGAGGCTGTGACCAAATACTTGCCACCACAAGCTGTAATTCAATACAACTTAATCACATTATCAAGCATTTTAACCCCCCTCTTTCATACCTTCCTTTGCTCTCTCCTTCAATAAAACAACTTCAAACCATGACACCACCAGCCTGCTTCACTTCAAGAACGTGTTCAACCTTGCAGGCGTACTTAGCAAAGTGATGTGATTTACAGGGAGATCTCAACCCACACGGTACAAGGGAACTACTCATACTTCTTCAAACTGACTGGAATCAATTAATTAAATAAAACCTCGGTAGAAGGCAGCATTGCTGCAGCCTGAAACAAGTGCTTACATTTCAGTTTTTTCTACTAGAATAAAAATTGAATTCTCAGGCATAATGGAGGTGATGCTTTAAGAGTAATTTTATGTCTACCTCCATTAAAATACAAATGAAAAAAGATGGCTAAATTCACTATTATCTGAAACTGCTAAGGTGACATAAAGACAATCATTCTTACCAATGCCACAAAGACAGCTAAAGATCAAAGTGAGAGAAGATTCCTTCCTTTCCAAATAAAAGGGGGCTGCACAGCTGTCAGAGCATTTGTTTTTGAACTCTGCAGCTAATGTAGCACTGGACAGTTTTAGTGGATCCAATGGTAGCCTAAGCAGCAATAGGAAGGATCTAACAAGTTTTGCAGACTTTTAGAATTGCAGCCTGTAAAACACAGATGCACATGCCTCCAAAGTAGAAAGTCAGCTGAAAATCATAGAATCAATAAGTGATAGAATCAGTCAAGTTGGAAGGGACCCTTAGAGATCATCTAGGCCAACTCCCCTGTAATGAACAGAAACATCTACAGTTAGATCAGGCTGCATGGCACCCGGTCCCGCCTGATGTTGAACTTCTCTAAGAACGAGGCATCCACCACCTCCAGGCAACCTGTTACAGTGCCTCACCACCCTTATTGTAAAAAAGCTTCTTCCCTATATCCACTTTAAATCTCCCCTCTTTTACATTGAAACCATTTGCCTTGTCCTGTCAGCACAGACCCTGCTAGTCTGTCCCCTTTCTTCTTATAGCCCCTCTTTAATTACTGAAAGGCTGCTCTCAGTTCTCCCCAGAGCCTTCTCCAGGCAGAAAAGCTGCAGCTCTCTTAGCCTGTCCCCATAAGGAGTTCCATACCTTTGATCATTTTTGTGGGCCTCCTCCGGATGTGGTCTAACAGGTCTATGTCTCTTCTACACTGAGGACTCCACATCTGGATGCAGTACTCCAGGTGAGGTCTCAACACCACAGAGTAGAGGGGCAGGATCACCTCCCTTGATGGGCTGACCATGCTTCTTTTGTTGCAGCTCAGGATCCAACTGGCTTTCTGGGTCACGAGGGCACATTGCTGTCTCAAGTCCAGCTTACCATTCCACCAGTACCCCAAGTCCATTTCAGAAGGGCTGTGCTCTATCCTTTCATCCCCCGGCTTCTCGATAGTGGGGACTGCCACGATCCAGGTGGACTGCCAACAGCTCGCCATGCTACTTTTCCAGCAGATGTCAGGATAGTTGAAGCCCCCCAGCAGGATAAGAGCCTACAATTGTGATGTCTCTTGTATTTAGAAAAAGAAGGCATCATCAACAGGCTCTGCATGATCAGGCAGCCTGTAGCAGACTCCAACTAGATTTCCTTTGTTGCCTCAGTCTCTAACTTAAGCATAGACTTTCGACTTGCTTGTGGCCATTCTTCTGGGACAACTCTCCACACTATTCCTTCCCTGATGTAGAGGGCAATGCTTCCTCCCCTCCTTCCATGCCAGTTCCTTCTGAACAACTTCTAAGTGTTGACAGCTACACTCCTGTCTTGGGAACAATCCCACTAGGCTTCAGTGACTGCAACCACGTCACGGTTTTCTAGCAGCACAGTGCCTTCCAACTCCTCCTGTTTGTTTCCCAAGCTGTGTGTGTTGGTGTAGAGGCACTTCACCTGGGCAGCCAGCCTTGGCGCCTCCCTGGAGGATAACTCCTTCATTCCTTTAAGTATTTTCCTCAAATCTCCTTGTTGCCTTTTCCTGTTGTCTCAGATGTTCTGGGGAAGGAAGCTGGAGAGCACTGCTGGCAAGTACCAGTTTCCCCTCCTATCACATTTCAGCAAAGTTAAATAGCTCCTATATTTGAAGAATCAATTTGACAGTGGGATAAGTAGATATCCCATGTTTTCAATACAAATCAAAGTCAGGCTGTAAACCTCTGTCCTGTTGATTCTGCCAGCAAGGGGTATACCAGCAAGGGGCATACCAGGAGCATACCACTGAGAGGTAACAGTATTATTCCATGTGATGTTTTGGTTCTTTTCTAAATCTATATACTGGCATTACATGGCATACAAACGTCTATTATTTTTGATACCTTAAAAAAATATGAAATACTTTTCTTAATTAGTTTGAAGTCTTCTGCCCCCTGCACAAAGATTTGCACAGATATTTGACATAATAATGAAAATGAGACTTTCACATAACTTCCAGAAAGATCTCTATCTTCCTATAACATAAAAAAACATGTGGAAGATGAGATAAGCTAATGAAAATTATTGAAGAACTTTATTTGATTGATTTGAGCTATTACAACATCAAGCTGTAACACAGCTACCAAGTTAGACATTGGAATCCCTGAAGTCTGATTAGCAGACTACAGTTGATGAAACTAGGGCTTACTCTCACATACCTGAGAAACAAAGCAAAGAAAACCTGTAAAACTTCAGCACTCTCCCAACCTCTGAGGGCTACAAAAAGGGAGAGCTTGCTAAGTGGCATTTAAGGCCTCCTCCACAATTAATGTAAAAAAATACATATAAACATTTTTTTTTTAAGTAAACTAAACTTCACAGCCTCTTCATATTTCCGGATTATAAACAGGAAAGTAGATGAAAGAAGCTGGAACATCTCACCCTCATCAAGAGGTAATCAAAATTGTGATGGACTCAAGTTTTGTTACCTAAATCCTATCATAAAAGAATTCTATCTTGGAGAAAAGTCTTTCAGTTCCACTGTCAGAATTTAATAAATTACCCACAGTATCCCAAACTTGCTCATATTCCTTGTGCAGTCAATATAGGTCTCTTAGCATTATAAATCTTGGCTTGTTCATATGTTGGCAGCCAATCTTGTCTAGATGGTAAAGGAGTGCCAGAAAACACTCAGTTGAGGGAAAAAAAAAAAATCCATCAGTGGTACAAACTAAAGCTCTGACCATCTAGTGGTTTGCACATCACATGAACTGCTCCAACCAAACCTTTCTCTGGTAAAGAGCAGAAGGCACAATCTTACCGAGTTAGTTTTCCTGACTTTATAGTTGGCTATGTAGATATGAAGAGAGCATCATCTGAGCTAAGAGACAAAGCAGATAAATTTAACTTCAAAGCAAGAGACAGCTTGCTTGAAGAAGTTATCATTCCAAACTACCTGAAGCAGATGAACAAGAAACGTTGTTCATTACAGCTAATACATTTCAGTAAGTAGTCCAGCAGCTTTGAGGCTGAAGAGAAAGACCTGAGTACAGGCCCCTCTCCATCAGCCCTTGAGAGCAATTGCCGTAGTTGTTTTGGGAACAGACGTTATACATCTTCATCCTCTTTCTCTAAGAAGTCGGTCAAGGTACTGTCATCTACAGGTATTAATAAGTACTCCACACCATCAGCTCCCTGAGAACAGACACGCAATACACATTCTGTTAATATCAGTGCATAGTGCAATGCAAGCCATTAGATAGCACTGCCACACTTTGAATACTTGCAGCTAGGGTGAGAGCTGGCAAGCACTGTGAATGACTACATTGCTAAAACCAGGAATATTTCCTTAGAGCAACACTGGAAAAGCACAAATACTGAAAAAATGCAAAGCTTTTGGCGGGCTATGCTAGTTTATCACTACACACCTCCTCAACACCATATTTCCACATCTAGCATTGCTACAATGCCTCATTATTAGGACTCTGCACTCTTCTGCCATGCAAATACGGGCAACCATTTGAATCACACAGTCAAGCTCTAATGTCCATTACTCCTCGAGGTCTTCAGGAAGTTATGTTCCACAGAGACCTGTAAGTTGCTGGCTTAACTAAACCACACTGTTTTTTTTTTGTTTTGGTTGTGGGTTTTCTGTTTGTTTTTATAAGTCCCTATCCATATGAAGGGTGCTGACTAATTGAAGTTATGGAAAGAGCTGCAATTACAAAATCTCAGTGCTTTGCTAGCATCCAGGTGCTTCAAACTGCAAAGCCTCACTGTGAGCCACACACTTACATCTTAGGTATACTTCTAAGGAATAAAGCAGCTTTTTGTTTAAGATAACCGAATCCCCAGAATTACTGTCTTCCCACAACTCACCCGCTTGGTCCGAATGAGCTTGTGGTCCCTGAATTCTGTCAGCTGTGCCCTCAGTGTTAGGTCACTGTTTACAAGGAAGGCCTCTCGACACTGCTGGTAGAAGTCTTGGAAAGAGAGGCCTGGAGACAGAGAAAGGTGAGAACAAGGATCTGAAATGGTAAGTGTGTCTAACTATGTTTTCCCCACCTAAAAACATCGCTTCAGCTTACACCACTATGTTTACAGCAGCAACATCACTTCGAGTACACAGCCAAGTTAATATTTCAGTAATCAACAGAAAACAGTTGATTTAACATTCCAGACACCCTGTCTGCCTAATAGAATTTTAATGGTAATTCCCAATATAATGAATCTCTCAATTTCCAACTCCTTCACCTCACTTCCATCTTTCTGCACCATTAACACACTGCTCACCCTCTGCTGCATCTGTTAAGACCATGATAGTGTATTCCACATGGATCCTAGGAAGCAGGGACACACTGGAGATTACTTAGGAACAGCATGAAAACCAAATCTCCTGTTTTTCCCTGGCTCATTAAGCACTACTGTTGTGCAAGCTCATATTCTAGCTTGATTTTAATTCTGTAGCCACACAGTGCCCCCAGCAGTCCCATTAACGCCTAAACATGAAAGCAGACAATAGTAAGAGGAGGCTAGAATCCAGCTAGTCTATCCAGCACCAATAGAAAGACTGTCTATACTACTAAGACACATTGAACCAACAAATACAGGTCTTCTGTTGCTGCTCATGTAACCTGTACACTAAAAGACAGTGCTGCTGTAGCTGAGCTAGCAATGCCACCCCAACCAGGTGAGGAAACAGTAGGTATGCACCTGGGTAAGATGCGTTGTCCTTGTTCTCCAGCTGGTACTGAGCAAGCAGTCTGAATATTCCCCTAAGCAAAGGGATGAGAAGAGGAAATCCAAAGAAAAAAAAAGACATTAGCAAACATTAATTTATTTTTCTCTCATCACAAGCACTCTGTGCACACATGTAGTTGCTGGCTAAAGCTTGCTTCCACTTAAAGTAATCAATCACATGAAAACTAAGTCCCATCATTTTCACCTTGAAAACTGCTGTCAGAAAACAGGGATTGCCTCCTGGTTGGCGTATGCCTAACAGTTAACACAGAAGTCCAGAGTAACCTTAGTGAAGACTGGATTCTCAGTAGGTGCTACTGTGAAGACTACCAGCGTCTTACCTGGCATTGGGAGTGAGGCTGTGCAAGACATGTGTTAACGAGCTCAAAGCCAAAGATCCAGATTGCTGCACTAACAATGAGTTTTCATAAGATGTTTCTTCTACATAAGGACTAAATGTGGTCGTCTCATACCAAAGCCAATTGTAGAGGCTTTGCTTTGCCTGATCCCACACTAGACAGAGAGGAAAAAGAACAGACAGATTGGAGGGTTAGCTTTTTTCAGGTATTAAATAAGCAGTATTATAATGTACTTAAATCTACTGTAGTATTTGAGGAAAAAAAAAAAAAGCTTTTGAAATTCACAGTACGTGCACCCAGATGCTGCAGTTCAGACAAGACAATCCTCTGCAATGGAAAATTTGCATGCATCCCCTTTTCATACCAGCTTCACGGATATGCTGTAAATCATTCCACAATCAGTAGTGCAAAAAGAATTTTTGATAAAATTGTTAAGATGTAGTGACAAATGTAGCATCCAATCTCCATTTCAGTAAGTCACTAAATAATAGGGTGTTAACAGGCTTGGAGGGCTTTTTTGCTTGTCTTGTAAACACTGTTGTTTCTCCCTGCTTCTGTAGTGTTTTTTTTCTTATAATCAGAGGCTGGTAGCTCTTAGCATCTTTATACAGTTTGGGTTGCACAAGGCCACAGTTCCAATCAGGGCTTCCAGCCACTTCAGCCATACATACATCACCAGGTCTATTTTGCACACCAAGAGTAATACATGAGCTTATGAAACATGCTCAGCGGGCCCGAAGTAGAATGCAGATTCTACATCAGGCCCAGGGGGACTCACTGAGAGGAGCATTGATGTGATCGATAGAAGCAATGAGGTAAATGCTAGGCAGAGAGGATAACTGTGCAAGGATCTGCTGACTTCTTTCTCCTCTCAACATCTGGCTGTCCAGGTTATGAATGAGGACATAGAGCTCTAAAGATGAATCTGAAAGGTCAGAAAAAACAGCACAGAACCAATCAAAGAAACTGTACACAAAGCAGTTTCCCATTCCCAGTGCAGTCTAGGACAAGTCCATTCCATCAGGCTCGACATTCACCACTCCAGTATCAAATGACTTTCCTTGTACAGCTTACTTTGATTCCTGTACCACACTGTATTTCTGAGTAGCTAAAAGGCTGTCTCTCAATTCATTACATTTCTTTTTTTATCACAGGTGCTGTTCTTCCTTCAACTGAAGTTTTTATTATTAAAAAAAAACCACAAACGAACAAACCTTTTCACTTGCTCAGAGTATTACCATGGATTGTCCTTTTCACTATGGTCTTTAGCTCTGTGATTCAGGTCATTCAAACGTATTTCAGGAGAGAAATCTAAGCACAGTTTGTTCAGCTGCTTTTGAGTTACAGAACTAGGATCCTTAAGCCCTCATAAAATCGAAATACACCTATTCAGGACTGGACCTGCAGCACACTAACTCAATTAGAAATCTTTCCCTTTGAGCACTCAAAGAAACTTATAAAGATTTAGCTTAGATAACGCAAATAGTAGATGTTAAGATTTCCAACTTAGCTTGTTGCTGCTACACTCATTCCCAGGAAACAGCTTTTTCCTGTTTTTACAGAAAGAATTCTGGAAAAATAGCCAGTGCTTGTGCACATCAATAGAGACTTGGCTGCCAATGGAAACCAAGAGTTCCTCAGACTCCCTGTAAGATCAACTGTAATAAATACATGAGACTGATCTATGCAGATTCAAGTGTGTACAACTGCTAATCATTCTTCATTTAGTTACACCAGAAACACTGATAGGGATGGAGAATGAAGTCCATGCTTTTTAACATTTTTGTCCTACGAAACCAGGATTTCACAGCAATAACCCATGTATGCATAAGCAGTACAGCCTATACACAA